CTACTTCTCCCCCCTCCCACCAGTCGCGGTTGCACGTTATGATTCCTTGTCCGCTTACCGTTTACTTGGATTCATTAAAAAAATCAGCCAGTTAAAAAGTGATACACGATCCTGTCGATATAAGAATTTCAGTCTCAAAGTTGTAAGCGTCAGGTCTGATGGGAGGGGGGGTTCCGGATCCCCCGGACCCTCCCCCTGGATCCGCCACTGGTTTCGGCTCCTGAACTGTGGAACAAACTACCTGATGCATGACATACGTTCTTGTGACAATTTAAAGCTCTTTGAACGTAAAATGAAGACTTATCTTTTTAAAAATTTTTTTAATATGTATGAATTCTCTTCTAATCCATGTCTAGCGCCTAGATCCGGTTTTTTGTGAATATTTAAATCTCTGTTAACGTAAGCTTAAGACTTACTTTTAAAAATTAATTCAATATGTATATTCTATTTTGTAAAGCGCTTAGATCAGGTCTGGATAAGCGCTATGTAAGTAGTTCTATTATTATTATTATTATTATTATTACTTGATGTAGAAGACACAATAGAGAACAAAAAGACCAAAATAATGGTATGTTTACGGTATGTTTAAAAAAAATTTATGGAAAATAATGAAAAGAATGGGTTGATGGAGCGGTCTTCTGTTGTGACGTGTCCTTTGTATTCTACACTACCCGGGAGGAGTCAGAGAAAGACAAAGCAAAGACAAAAGCGAAAGCAAAACCAGATTGCTCACGAAGCAAAATTGAACACTTCATTTCTGAGATTTAAAGTGCACAAACGACTTTTTTAGTTAAATAAGCGATAAGGTCTCCCGAATTTACGCGTTAATTATATTTGCCACATGGTGTATCCAACGCCAACACAAAAATCTTTTGATCCAGCTTAGCTTGTATCGTGCGAATTCTTAATAATTAAAGTTCGTGCTACCTAACCAGTTTTGTGTGAATTCGTCGCAAATTTTTAACCCAGTAATTTAAGGGGCCCAGGCAAGTACATTTAGGACCTTATATCTATCTTCATCATTCTTGCAAGCAGTATGAAGCATGTTAAGGGAGAATTTTTCCATACGCTATTTATTCTCACTGATAGAGAACATGCAGAGGTAGTTTTCCAGGACAAAAAAAAAACCTTTGGCTATCTCTTTATGTATCGCAAGCCTGAAAATGCAACCCCCCTCGGAAAATCATTCCTTTGTAGAGTTCTTTTACTTCGTGCGTACACTGATATAACGATTTTCAATGTCAAGCGAGGATCATATCTTCAACTGGCTTTGAGGTTCGTCGTTGATGCGGTGAATCTAAGGCAATCCAGAAGGTTAAGAAAATAACTTGCTGTAAGATAAATAGCAGAACAAGAAGTGATTAATTCATGATTGATTTAATAATGGTGATTAAACTGAGTGGATTGCAATTTGGTCTGAGGTTAAAAACGTTATTGAAAAGTGAATAGGCACTCAACATGTACAGGAGCTCACTCTGCTTAAAAATTTGAACCCAACTGTTGCCTCTCTTTCATTGGCTAATTCAAAATAAATAAAGTGTGATCTGATCTGTTCGAGTCTTAGGTCTCTGGAATTTCTTGTTGTGTTATATTATATAATTATTATATTATATTATGTGTGATTGATTTTCAGAAGTGTCTCTCTCTTGCAATGCTAGTCTCTCACTCAGTAATAATTCCTTACGTTCTGTTTTAACGTTCCATTTTAATTTCTACTTTTGTTCAGGAATAATTTCCTATCTCGTTTGCTTTTGTAACTGGCATTTTCATAGACATGGGCGGAAACTTATCATTTACATCTGAAGTGAGAAGAAGTCGTGTGCCAGTGTAAATAAACTCATGATGGGTTTTACCGTTAATCCTGCGTATCTACCAGCTCTATTTACTTCATCGAACCGTAAAAAAAAATCTCCATGTAAAGCAAGGAACGTAGAATAATAATAATGATTTTAGGCCAGTCAAATGTAAAACCCGAAAGTTATATGCTTTGTACCCAGTTACCCAAAGTTTTATTGTAAACCTGCGTAGCAAAATAACTTTTAATATAAATGTTTAGAATCTACTTATGGTAGGCCATCCTCTAAAGTACGAGGGGATCAAAGTCTCATAAACAATGCAACCTAAATACGGCAAAACGATACCTGTTGCTAAAGAATGATGGTGAGATTCAAAGCTAGATATTTCAACTTTAAACATTGACGGGGATGGAACTTCACGACTCGTTAAGGTTTACCTAATAAAGAAGACGTATTCAAATTCTTGACCTAGCTGAGCTAGCGATTTACCTCCAGGTACACCGAACACTTGTGCCGAACAATTTTGCAATTACACCATAGCAGAGATCTCATGCGCATGACCTATTGAGCACGACCGTGGCGCTTGGCCGCAACAGCGTTCGTGTTCACCAAATTTATGCTGTATTATCAAATCTTACCTGTCATACAATGCAAAGTGAGCAGCAAGTCGGCCTTGATTCACCGATTTGGTCCAAAATAGCTTAGCCTGCAGAGCAGGCGTAATTAGGGCAAGCGAGTGATCAGTATTTTCTTGGCGAAAAATGGTGGCCATCTTTGATTTAAATGGGACCAAAGGGGTGAGTGACGGTCAAAAATAAGGAGAGGGGCTGGGGTGCGGAAATCTTCTCGCCCTTCCTCCGCCTCCTACCCCCACCGTCCACTCTGACACTAAATCAAATTTTGCGTTCGGACAAACGATCACAAGCTTATAACCTTGTCTCGCCCTCATAAGACGCCTTGCAGTGCAGGCTAAAGTAGCTTGATTCCTTTATTTTGTAATGCATACTTGACTCAACATGATGATGCCAAGAAAGCACATTTATACAACTGGAACGATCTACAGGAGGAATTAACTAACTTTTACACATAACAACACAAGCTACTTTCATGACTATTCCTCGTAAATCAAAGTGAGGCCAGGTATGCTACGATAATTTAGATTTTCGAGTTTTCTCCGATCTAAAGCATCATCAGGGAATGCAGATGGAATAGTGAAAATATTTAAAATGTTTGTGTTTGGCTCAGCTTTCTACTGTTCACTCGTTAGTTATCTACCTATTTTTAGTTCATACACCGTTTGCAAATATGGCGACGATAGCTCCAAAGCGAGGCTTCACGGTAGCAACGCCGTTGCTAAGGGCTGCCTGCGTCTGTTTTCAAGTACTTCGTGCCAGCTAATACCAGGTTGGATTATTACGGTGGCCCAGAAGGGACAACGCTTCTACTTGAAAATGTAGTGTCGTTCTGTAAAAATGTAACTGTTCTTTTTAGAATTAAACATCTTTCCTTAGAATTCTGCCATCGTTCCTTGTATATCTGCGACCGTTCCTTAGAAATATAGCTGTTCTATAGATACAATGAATATATGAAGTTCATATATTTTGAACTGCGGTATTAGATACATATGATGCACGATCCTCGCAGTAGATAGCGCTATT